CATCTATTTTGTGAAGTGCACCAGTCCCTCCTGCAGCAAAGCACCCCCACAGCATGATGCTGCCACCCCCGTGCTTCACGGTTGGGATGGTGTTCTTCGGCTTGCAAGCCACCCCCTTTTTCCTCCAAACATAACGATGGCCATAATGGCAAAACAGTTATATTTTTGTTTAATCAGACCAGAGGACATTTCTCCAAAAAGTACAATATTTGTCGCCATGCGCAGTTGCAAACCGTTTTTAGCTTTATCAACTGCAGAAAGATCTGACTTCATGTTGTGCAGAGATGATCTTACAACAAAATGACCTATTTATCAAAAAGCGCCACACTCAGGATGTCACGCCCTGGCTCTGGGGACTTTTATATGTTGAGCCAGGGTGTTCGTTTCTATGTGTTAGTTTCTGGGTGTTAGGTTCTATGTTTCGTTTTCTATGTTCTTGTTCTAGTTTATGTGTTTCTATGTTGGCCAGGGTGGTTCCCAATTAGAGACAGCTGTGGCTCGTTGTCTCTGATTGGGAACCATACTTAGGCAGCCTGTTGTGCACTTGTCTTTTGTGGGATCTTGTTCCGTGTAGGTTTCTGTTTATGACCGAGGACTTGTTAATAGTACTCAATAAAGGATGTACGCATTTCACGCTGCGCCTTGGTCCACTCATTACGACGATCGTGACAGAAGATCCCACCAAGACAGGACCAAGCAGCGTTTCCAGGAGCAAACGCCGGAGGTAACGTTGGTAGATGTCCTCCTCGGTTGGGGGAGGATAACGGAGGAGGAGGCCGTCCGTTACCGGAGGGCGATGAAGGGGGAGACCCAGGCAGGAGAGGAGAAGCGGCGCCAACCGGGCCGTCGTCGGACAGGCGAGAGGCAACCCCAATACATTTTTTTGGGGGGGGCACACGGCATGGACGACGGGGCTGCTGGAGGCAGCTACAGGGCGAGATTGTGGACTAGGAGAGAAGGCCACCAGGTTACGGGGGCCATTGGTCATTAGAGGGAAGGAGAGTGTAGAGGCACGGCGAGAGGTACTGGGGTGTGTTACCAGTCCGGTCCGGCCCGTTCCTGTCCCTCGCACCAAGCCTGTGATGCGCGTCGCCAGCCCGGCCCGGCCTGTTCCTGCCCCTCGCACCAAGCCTGTGGTGCGCGTCGCCAGCCCGGCCCGGCCTGTTCCTGCCCCTCGCACCAAGCCTGTGGTGCGCGTCGCCGGCCCGGCCTGTTCCTGCCCCTCGCACCAAGCCTGGGGTGCGCGTCGCCAGCCCGGCCCGGCCTGTTCCTGCCCCTCGCACCAAGCCTGGGGTGCGCGTCGCCAGCCCGGCCCGGCCTGTTCCTGCCCCTCGCACCAAGCCAGTGGTGAGCGTCGCCAGCCCGGCCCGGCCTGTTCCTGCCCCTCACACCAAGCCAGTGGTGCGCGTCGTCAGCCCGGTCCGGCCCGTTCCTGCTCCCCGCACCAAGCCAGTGGTGCGCGTCGTCAGCCTGGTCCGGCCCATTCCTGCTCCCCGCACCAAGCCTGTGGTGCGCGTCGTCAGTCCGGCACAGCCCGTGCCTGTTTCACCGGTGCCTGGTCAGGTACCGGTCAGCTGCTCCACACCGGAGCCTAAGCAATCCGCTCCACCGATGTCCAGTCCAGCTCCAGCCAGCGGGACCAGACCAGGGGCGCTACGGGGGGTTAGTTAGAGGGTGGTGGTCACGCCCGGAGCCGGATCCGCCTCCAAGGCGGAATGCCCACCCGGCCCCTCCCCTGTTGGGTTTAGTTGGCGCGGTCGCAGTCCGCGCCTTTGGGGGGGGGGGTACTGTCACGCGCTGGGGACTTTTATATGTTGAGCCAGGGTGTTAGTTTCTATGTGTTAGTTTCTGGGTGTTAGGTTATATGTTTCATTTTCTATGTTCTTGTTCTAGTTTATGTGTTTCTATGTTGGCCGGGGTGGTTCCCAATTAGAGACAGCTGTGGTTCGTTGTCTCTGATTGGGAACCATACTTAGGCAGCCTGTTGTGCACTTGTCTTTTGTGGGATCTTGTTCCGTGTAGGTTGTGTTTATGACCGAGGACTTCACGTTTCGTTTTGTTGTTTTGTTATTGTTAATAGTACTCAATAAAAGATGTACGCATTTCACGCTGCGCCTTGGTCCACTCATTACGACGATCGTGACACAGGAGACAAAGATCTCAGGAGTGTGTATTACAAATTTGTTCATACAAAGGAACAAATCAGGAACAAATTACCATGTAGTGTTAACCAAATCAAGGACAAGCTTTTGCTGATCCACAAGAAAAAATGATTGATGATTGGTTTAAACCTAAACTTAGAACGTACACTCTCATCAAAGAGAACTACACCCCTGAACCATGTGTCCGCCTGAACCTAACAAAAAGGTCAGTTTGTGCACAACTCAGATCCGGCACCCACCCGCTGGCTATTGAGGCGGGTAGATTTAACCTCTACAGGATGGGTGTACCTATACCGGGACGGTTGCTGCTCAATATGTGATATGTGACTAGAATGGCGTTGTAAACAACAGCCAACTTTCTGTGACATAGACATGTCTTATGGGCAGAAAGCTTAAATTCTTGTTAATCTAACTGCAGTGTCCAATTTACAGTAGCTATTACAGCTAAAAACAAATACCATGCTATTGTTTGAGGATAGTGCACAACAACAAAACACTTTGTCACGGCAACTAGTTTGATACATTTACCTCTGAAGGTAAATAATGTACTTACATTCAGTAATCTTGCTCTGATTTGTCATCCTGAGGGTCCCAGAGATAAAATGCAGCATAGTTTTGTTTGATAAAATCAATTTTTATATTCAAATGTAGGAACTGGGTTCTACAGTTTGACCCCCTGCTGTCTCTGGTTTTATTGCCCTCTGTATGATGATCTGAGACATGTTATTTTTTGTAACATTTTGGTGATAACCCTGAAGTATTCTGGTTACGGGATGAGCAGAAGCTTGAATTCTGTTTCAGACATGGTGTTTGAGATTGCTCAGTTTGTTCACAATGCCAGCAGGAGAAGGAGATATTTACGTTTTGTGTAGAGTGGCTAGATGGTAGCCATGATTATTGTATGCTTATAATATGTATAATTTCTCAAATGTTATTTTGTTCTGTAGTGTCTTGTAAGCCCATGTGGGCTGGGCACCGGTAGGTGTATGACACTTAAATAAATCATATAAATAAATAAAACATCTAAGTGCAGACCAAAGTGATAGGTGTAGTCAAAACAAGACACAATCATTGCATCCCAACAGTGAAATGGTTTCCAAACAAAGTTTTCATACATATTATTTAGAACACTTAAGTACTACAGTGTTTGTTTCTCTTAAAGCACATTCAGTCATGATCATCACACGGCAAAAATTGTTACACCTAAGTTGTATGAAATCATCTTGCTCTGATCGTTAGACTAAAATAAACAAAATTACATATTTTAACACAGAGCTAGGAATGAATCACTTTAAAGCGTATAAATGATGGTGTACAAAAAAATAATTCTGCTCAGTAAAGTTTGAAAGTGACATCTCTCTACTTCCTATGCATTCCCTTTACTGCTGCCATAAAGGCAGAGTCTGGGTGTGTCCATGTAGTTTGCAACGGTAGTCATTGTTGACATGTAGCCTATGCCAGTCCTGTAGAGACTTCATTCTAGTTACTTGCACGGACAGTAAAAAAGGCAACCCTGTATTATTGCAGCAAGAGGGGGTGTTTTCCTAGGAGTAACTGTGGCTCTGGGAACCCTAGGGTTTCTGTGAAATTGTGTAAGCCAAGGCCACTGACTCAGTCATTACATGGAGTCAAGACGTGTAATAGTGTAATAACATGGTGGATACAGCTGGATCTATTGTCCTCTGAGAAGTGAAATGCCCGTCTTGGTATTGGAGGAGTAGTTGAACATTGAGCAGGGTATGATGACTGGAACTTGGTCCCAAAGGTGTGAGAAACTGCTGTAGACTCATCTGCTGTTCTGAACAGTGGGGCCTCTCAATGGTCAGTCAAATATTGTTGCTATTATGATGATTAAGATGAGGAGACCCAGTGCCATACAAATGGCAAGCCAGAACAATTTCTGTGAGAGAGGAAGAGCAAAAGTTTGGTTCACTGTTCATTTAGTACATATCAAACCAAAACGACCTATTTTAACTGACATAATTATGTGTGTGTTCATCACTTTGAATGTAGTTACTATGAACCTAACTTGGCAATTTACCCATTATTGTGATTCTCAAATTCTGAGATTCTCAAAATCAAAACTGAACCGCTAAATCAAACACTATCAAGTACAGTACCTCATTGTGTTAACCCTATGAGTCCCAAGAGCCCAGCAAAAATTGGCTTTTCATTTATCTGACTTTTATTTATCTGCATGTTCAGCCCGTATATTTAGCCTCACAATTAAGTGTTTTACCATTTTATTTTCAGGACAACGAGGGCTACAAGTAGAAAACAAAACAATTTGACATAAACAGTTGCATTCATGAGTTTTATTGACAAATGTCAATAACAAAAATAAGGTCTGCCAAAGCAAAAACCCTGATAAAAATGAATTTATATACAGAAAAGTACAGAAATGGTTTGTTCAGTGGGAAATGAATATCCAACTATTCAGTGACAACTGTGTGGAGTTTGGAGTTTGTGACAGCAACTATGTGAGCTTATTATAGTATTATAGACACTATGTCCTTGGATTTCCTGTGATCTTCTATGTAGAAGAACCCCTTATCTTCTAACGACTCTTGTGTAGCTTGTGAGCGTCGTAGAGCAGCTTTTCATAGATAGCTTATAATAGTTTGTAACTCAAACCATTCCGACTCTACAGACATTTTTGTAAAAATACCCAGCCCCAGGCCCCTTCGGGATCTGCCCTCGTCTCACAAACACCACACTAGCTAAGCCCCCGTTAATCACAAAGACTAACAGTACCAACAGATGCAGAAGAAATTGACAAATATAATGGTACAACTCAGAAGTCTGTAGCTCAAACACACAATGTTTAAGTCCAAGACCTGCCAGCGTCGTGGTGGGACTCAATGGGTTAAAAGACGTGAATGGAAGGAATTGGTGTTGAATGTTATGTTGATCATGATGAAATGTACAGTAGTAGTTACCCCAGACAGATAGCAGGACAGGGCTCATACAGGGGATTTGGTTAGTCCAACAGACAGGCCAACAATTAGTGCAATGACAGCAAGCAGGATCAATAGAGCAAAGGCAAGGAGGATGAGTTTCTGCCCAGAACAGAAACAAAGTGGTTAGGTTAATAATGCGTGACCCAAAACACACTACAGTGATTTTAGTGAAAACATTAGTCAGGTAACAGACAATGTAAATGACTGCTCATTAGTGATAGTGAGGCATTTTGACATTCAATTTCGACATTAGATATGGCATTTAAACATTCTGTCCGACATTTAGAATGGTACTGAAATAATATTATTCTTATGACCAAAATATTCAGAGCTGTTGCACTGGTTAAAAGAGTCTAACTTGAGCAGTATTCTCCAGTATTATTAGCAGATGCACCATGTGACCTTTCGTTTGGGGAAAAGGAGACTTACCCTGCGGGATCTTTTCTGGTATCTCACTGCTTTTTTGGTCTCCTCTTTGGCACGGCCTATGTATTCAGCTGCGTTGGAGATGTTCTTCTCTATGTTGTTCACCATATCCCCCTTTTAAAACCGCACCACATGAGTTCCATACAGTTTGACTAAAAACAGAACTAATAATATTCAGGACAGCATTACAGTACTGCGCTACAGTACCTGATTCTCCACCAGCATGGCCATGTCCATAAACATGGCATGGAGCTCCCTGATGCTGGACTCCAGGCGGATGATATCCTGGTGCCGTGACACAATCTCATTCAAGGCCTGGCGCGTGATCTGAGAGTCAGAGATGATCTGAGGGAGGAGGTGGACAACAGGAAGACAGCCAGTAAGACAGTCTATTTCATTCAAATACATATATATGGGAGGATTGGTGTTGCATTTACACAGAATATTAGTTGTTTTGGAATACTTCCAACCACAACCTGAGTTATCTTGGTATACTAGATAGTGTTGGTATTTGACTGTATTGTGAAAAGAATGGATGTAAGAAAGTAGCATCAGAGAAAGGCTGGAGATTGAGGAGGAACTTACATCAGATGTGAAAATGGATGGGTTGCCACTCTCCAGCATGTCCTCCAGTTCCTCATTGCTAGTCACTCTCCCAGCTATAACCAGGAAATAAAATACTTTTACCAAACATGTGCTAAAACATCAGCAGAAAACAAAAATAATTGTTCTCTCTCCTCCACTCTGTGGGGAGAATAGTCTCTGTAGTCACAGCCACAGTGTTATGATCTAGGCTATTCCTCAGAGTGACTCAACCCTCACTGCCTAACATGATCAAACCCACTGTGGCTTACAAACCTGGGATCATGTACATAAGCCCTTCCACCCCAGTGAAGGTAGCCTTCTGTTTCCTTGGCAACACTAACACAGGTAGGCACAGATAGGTGTATGTGTCCTGTGTCAGACTCTTCTCTTCCTTCTGGAGTGTGCTGTAGTAGAGAGCCTCATTAAGACTATCCTAAGGGACTGGAGGGGCTACGACTATTTCTGTCATCATCAATTATTCTCATTCTAAACAAATACTCTATATCAGGGTTCTTCAATTCCAGGCCTGGAGGGCCGAAACACCTCTGTTTTTCATCCTCTCCTTCTAATCAGGGGCTAATTCAGACCTGGGACACAAGGTGAGTGCAATTAACTACCAGGTAGAAATAAAAAACAGAAGTGTTTCGGCCCTCCAGGACCGGAATTGAAGAACCCTGCTCTATATGAACAATACATGGGTGTCTGCCATATGGTGTATTTACAGCAAGTCTTGGCCGGTGTAGGCCGTCATTGTAAATAAGAATTTGTTCTTAACTGACTTGCCTAGTTAAATAAAGGTAAAATAATTTTAAAAAATTGTCCATGCCATGACAATAGATAATAACATACAGTGACAGGTCAAGGAGCCAGAAAACAACCTGACTTATCCACAATGAAACTAGGCAATAATGAGGATAATGTTGGATGTTATTTTGTAATTGTGAACAGTGTAGCCTATGTGTTATCATGGTGGGAGAGAAAAGCTCCTAGGTGTGGTCGGGCTCCTTTCCGTGATCCTGTCTGCCCTGCTGCTGGCCCAGTTTGTCACTCACTTATCTCCAGCTGTCTCTGGATCCTTCCTTTGCTTCTCTCCCTAAACGACACTTGAGTCTTGTTGTACTGACTCATGACTTCCACAAACTTCCTGGAGAGCACCATGTGCTGTGGGGTTAGAGAAAACACAAGCTGAGAGAAGAGAGAGGAATGAGAGTTCCAACCACTGGCAAAAGTAAAGTGGATAAAGGCTCAGTAAACTTTTTAAAGGCTGAGATGTCAAACAGCCACGTCAAAACATAGCAGCAAACATCACAGCAAATCATGATCAACTTTGTATACAGGCTTGTAAGTTAGCCTCCAAGTATCTATTGTCAAGCTCTGTTCTTAACTACAACCTGTAAGAACACGTCAGCAGTCGCAAACATGTGAGGAATGAGTCCCAGGAAGGCTGTTTCCTGACCTGGGTTTTCTGAATGCGGAAATCAACCGAGGCCCTGTTAGAAACATCATCCTTGGGCAGGCTCTGCTCCATAGCTACAGAGAACAGAAAGAACAGTGATTACAGCAGCTATAACATCACCTCAGACAAATTCCCCACTTCTACCACTCATCTAGCAGCATTTGGGATGAGGCATTTGATCCAGTCATATCAATGTCAAAATGACAACAAAAAATATATTTCTTTATGTACTGTACGTCGTGGTGTTAAACTTACATTTTAGCTTAACTCTCACAGAGTTAGCATTGCTTTTGATCTCATTGGTCAACCGGTCAAGTTCATCTTTCATCTCTTCAGGAAATAACAGCGACAGAAAATAAATGTATTATTGCAAATTTCCCCAACATAGGCCTGGACAAATATTAGCATTAATCACTTGGCAACTCTTCTTTAATAATAGCCTATTCTTCATATTTATGCAGGTAAGAAACCCTACACCTACCTGTGCCCGTAGTATCCATTAGACACCCACTGGATTTGTGGGCCAACAAATATTTGCACCAAACTCTTGGGCCATTCTCAGTTAGTATTATTATGTAGCAGATGGTTATATTTCCCACGGGGGGCCTGTATGAAAAACGTATGCACTCACTAACTGTAAGTCGCTCTGGATAAGAGCGTCTGCTAAATGACTAAAATGTCAATTGGATCACTAAAAACAAATGGTTGATACTGTGTTACTCTGCTGGTAATAATTGATGCTGTTCTGTGGCATTATAGAGTCAACTGAGGGCCTTTGTCTATGCAGGTCTTGATTAGCTCCTCATGTCTGTTCAGTCTCCACAGTGGATCAACTCTGAACAAGCACAGCTGCAGCAACACAGCTTCAGTGTGAGAAGCATCCCCACATGCACACACGCACACACACACACACACACACACTCTCTCTCTTTTCACGCCTCCAAATTCTGTTCTGTATAAAACAGGTTGTTCGGCATAGGTGCTGAAGTTAAGGCAGTCACTGTATGCCACATACATACAGGCTACCTACCAATGCATAACCTCCCTGCGGTAGATAACCTATCCAAGCCCCCAGTAAAATGACCATGCTAGAAGGTTCAGCCAGATTGATGGGCATCAACTTACTCTCATCTGTATTGGGTGCAGACAGGATCATGCTGTGGTTCTTCCTCACCTCCTCCACTTCAGAAGATAGCTTATCAATGAGCCCCCTAACCTCGTCCACCTGAGTCACGCACATACAATATTTTCAATATGATTTAAATACACAGACACTTACAGTATTTTACAGTAACCATCTAGCTTATCTGAAAACAAACAGTACTGACTGAACCACTGTTCTTACCCTTCTGAAAAACCCTTCCATAAATCCATCACTGTCAACTGTGACTGTGACATCCTCCTCTGCTTGTGTCCTGCTCTGTTAAGACAAACCGACAGTCATTTATTAGAGAGTAAAATCTGAGGCTCAAGTACTGCGTGATTAACAGGCCTACATTTACCATATTATTATCATGACAACAAAATGCTATAGACCAGAGTTGCATTCCTTAGGTCCTAGGAAATAGCTAGAAGAATATAATCGTATATTCAGCCTGCAGCCATAGGTTTATGACTGATGAGATCAGTAACATCATATTAGTAGGCTACTTACTGCGGTTAATTCACCCAACCGGTCCTTCATCACGTTTGATGCGTTTTTGACTGGCTAATAATACATAAAACAACCACTTCTCAACTCCATCGCAACTAGCTCGAGTAGCTAAGTTAGCTCTACAAGTGGATAGCTAATTTTTTCTAGCTAGCTAGGTATACTATAACTGAGTTTGTTGACAATTAACATACATTTCTATAGTCATGCAATAAGTGTGAGATGTTTTCTCTTTCAATCATTAACATTAGCTAGGAAAGCGTTGTCCAACTCCTTAACATTAGGTATCAACCAAAATGCACCGTTAGTCTGCTAGCTATCTGATTGTGGCAGACAACATACCTCACATCACCTTCACGTTGTCTATCTACGAGCATGTTGGGAAATGGGATACGCCTCTCGGGTCTACTCAGCGGGAGGAGGCTCGCAGCCTCGCACCTAGCACTACTCCTGTGACCGCAGTTGTTGTTCAGGATATTAGCCACACAACGGCGCTGTTGACCATACAGCGTTGCGTGCGCTTGTGAGTGGCTTCATAATCTCCTCTCTCGTGTCCTTTCCCCCCTATGATTCACCTGGAAGCAGGTCATTCCAAAATCTCCAGGCTTCCAATTTCCACAGAACAGTTTCTTTTCAGGCTAGGTTCTAGTTCTAGTAATTCAATTTCTATGGCCAGCCCATTAGTTTACAGGTGAAAGCTATGACCCCTTATTGATGTCACTTGCTAAATCCACTTCAATCAGTGTAGATGAAGGGGAGGAGACAGGTTAAAGAACGATTTTTAAGCCTTGAGACAATTGCGACATGGATTGTGTATTTGTGCCATTCAGAGGGTGAATGGGCAAGACAAAAGATTGAAGTGCCTTTGAACCGGGTATGGTAGTAGGTGCCAGGCGCACCGGTGTGTCAAGAACTGCAACGCTGCTGGGTTTTTCACGCTCAACAGTTCCCCGTGTGTATCAAGAATGGTCCACCACCCAAATGACATCCTGCCAATTTGACACAACTGTGGGAAGCATTGGAGTCAACATGGGCCAGCGTCCCTGTGGAACGCTTCGACACCTTTTAGAGTCGATGCCCCGACGAATTGACGCTGTTCTGAGGGCAAAAGGGGGTGGGGGGTGGGGTCATAATCACCAAATACGCACTTGATATATGCTATTTACGCAGGCCCCACCTTGAGTTCCGATGCTCCAAAAATGACATCATGTTTTGTATTACCACGTCCAATCGAACAGCCCGGAGAATTCCTCCACTCAGTGCAATCCTAGAATAGAAAGAGCAGAGCACATCAAGCAACAAGGAGCAAAATCCGTCGCTGGAATCGTCCAATATTTCTAATTCTGTATTGAGAGACGAGGATTACCAATTTTTGGGAAAGTTCTGAATGGTTACGCACATTGGCAGTAGATTATAATGTGCCAGTTTCAGTGCTCAGTTTTAATGCCGTTTTACAAAATGTCAGGGAATTAAGTTTTGGGTGACAATTGTTTTTATTGGAGACATGGACTAATACACAGAGAAGAAGAAGGTTTTTTTTCTGCATTTTGGAATAATGATTTATGCTTTCTGGATTGAACATACATTGGCGAATTAAACCAAATTAACCAGTATTAACCAGTATTTAGTTTTAATCAAGTGCCAAGTCATGGAACTATTATTCCAAATTCTGTTTGTAACTACTTTTGTCACTTTGATTCAGGTAATTTCAACAGTTATTTTTCCATGACCTTCACCATTATGTGTAGGTGACTGCAATGTTGAGTTTATTTGATTTCTTTACAGGTTAATGGCGAAGTAGCAAAGCCATCCAAGCATCCAGGTAAATCTAATTATACTTCATTGAATTCTTGGGATTTTCTATGTTGTGTCTGAAATTAGCCTACAGTTTATGATGAATATTATTGGTAATTTAGGGAGAATCAATTATATATATATATATATATATATATATATATATATATATATATATATATATATATATATATATATAATGGGATGATGAATTATAGTTTATGACTTACCATAAGTTTAATACTCAGTAATAGTGGTTTATTAAGCAATGCAAACTGTGTTTATTGAATGAGATACCCAAACATCAACACATTAGCTGTATTGTTTAAAATTGTCAACCTTTTAATCCTAAAAGACACACTGAGGAATGCCAGGAAAATAACCCATTGAAATAGCATGATTGAGTGTGATTAGAGAAATGTCCCATCTGGAGCTTTGTTTACACATGAACTGTCTGTCCAGGCCTGCAGGTGTTAGCCACAGCCTCACACTATTGGCCGCTGGATAAGGTGGACGGGATCCATGGACTGTGGGACCAGATTGGAAACAGACCAGGTCATGTTAACGGAAGTAAAATAAGTATGTGCATAGACCTATATACTTAGGAATAGAATACCCAGTCTTTTCCATTCTCTGTCTGCATGGTCTACAGCTCAATTCACCTTTTGTCTGTCTTGCAGTCACCAAGACCCTGCCTTTTAAGGTGCAGCTGTGTGCATTGTTCAAATTTGATTACACTCAAATTTGCTATAATAACTTTCAAAGTAGAGAGTCAAAATGAAACGTCTAAAGGCTACTTGCTAATGTACATCAAAGCACTGTGTTTTAATAAACAAAATGGGATAAAAAGTTATCCTTCACCCCCAGGTACATTTTATGCAGACTTTCCAGATTAATGCTAAGACTATTGTTTGCAAAACTGATTTCCAAATACCATACTGTATTATTTCAACTATGGAAGCAGCAAGAACTTTCCCAAATGCTTCCAAAATTGTATATCTTGATCATTTGAATAAGGTTAAGCTAGTTTGAAACATCAAAGTGATTCGGAATGGGATACTTTGGGACTCACAATCGATTATATCAGTTGTGAGGGATGAGATCTAGACTTGAGAACGGCATTTTGAATTTTTCCATACAAAATGTACTTTGATCCTAAGGGGAAATGATTGATCTGTTCCTCCTTGAGCACTGTGTACTGAGCCCAGCATCACACTTAATCTCATCCCTGCTCACGCACCACATCCCTCATGATGCATAGTGTCTGTGTTTGTCTCTCACTGTTCTGTTGTGTGCTCTGGCCGTTTTGTGTTATTCGTGTGTAGATATGTAAATCACCTGTTTCTCCTTTGTCTGTTTGTTTTCTATGTTTCACCTAGCTCTTCAAATCCACAAGCACACTGTGCTCCCTTCCTCCCATAACTCTTCCTCTGTGTATACCAATGACTCTGCCTACACTAACGTTTCTGCAACAGTAGGTGAGGAACATCACTGCTCACAGAAAATTAATTTGTATGTAAAGTCAGTCACCCTGCTCTGTCGGTGTTACTGTAGTGCTATCTGTCATGTTAAGGCTATTCAGTCTCCATCGTTTTGTAAATGGTGTACCAGCTCAGCCAATAGTTGACATGAGTGTGTCACACACACTGTTACCTGAAGATGTTGAATTTGTCTGTGTGTGTGTGTAGTCAGGGAGAGACAATTGTTTTCTTCACTGGAAAAAGAGCAGAGACTGCAGTGTGTAAATCACGATTACACAAGCTTTGAGACTGGAGGTATAGAGATCTTTTTCTAGAGTGCTGTAAAGTGGAGCTTTACTTTTTAACCTCAATGTGCCAGGCCTATTTAGTTTTGTCTGCTTACATGATTTAAAGTGGGAGAACAACAAAGGGAAACACTTGGGTCATAGCTGACTACCATGGTAGATCATTATGCAGTGGGGAACATTCCATATTTGGTGCAGTACAGAGAATATGTTCATAAATGAAAAAAGTATGGGGGAATAAAAAAAATGAAAAAATAAATAAATAAATGTATGCACTCACTAACTGTAAGTTGCTCTGGATAAGAGTGTCTGCTAAATGTCTAAAATAAATCTATGACAACTGCTTGCCTGTTAGTTTGCCTGTGAAAAGCCTAGTTCAGAGGAAAAGCTGCCTCATTTTCTCATCAGGCAAAATGATGTTGTTGGCTTTTCATCCTACTGTAGACATAGTTGAAGGGATGGTCAACAAGGGCATCTATCTGAATGGAGATAATGGAGGCACGTTTCTCCACTTTGGGAACTACCAGAACTCCTGCATTAGTGACCCCACTCTGTGTGGCCCTGAGGGTGAGTTCCGCCTGTCTCGAACTCCTCTCAGGAACGTTCTACAGCTACACAGGACTGACTGTATAATAATTTAAGTGAATAATAAGTGATTATCTAATTGACGAAACACTACAAAATATTGTTTATTGGATTGAATGTAGATCTAAATGTATTACAATTAGCATGATTTGTGGTCTGAAACAATTTTCCCTATTTTTGAATCTGTAATAAATATATGTTCATGTATTTCAGGGATTACATTTTCCTTCTTTTGGAAGAACCAGGAGGCAGAGTCCCATTTTGCAATAGCCTCTGGAGGGAAAGTCATCTCCAATGGCTTCTCTGTCTATGCCAATGCCTACGCTGGATACGTAGAGTTCTACACACGAGGAAACTCGAAGAGGTGGAGGGCTAACATCAAAATACCAGGTATTTTAAAAAAGGAAAACCATTTTGTAAATGAAGTTGATAAAATTCACTATGATTCTAAATAATTATTTTAATTTTTTTTATAAATTGGTCTTTGGATGTGGATGGTGGGTAAAAAAATATTCTTATATAAATAAATAAATAAATACATATTTCAATTATTTTTCATTTTCAGCCTTGAATATGGTTGATTGTAAGCAGATGGAGCTACAATCATCAGCAGACTATACTGTTGGTCCCAGAATTATTTTATGGATTTAATGATGGATTCAATTTATTCTTTATCTCAAACTATAAATGTGTCACATTTTACTGGCAAGTCTGTTTCCATATTGTTGCGTGACTATAGTAAATACTGAACCACATGCTAAATAATGCATACGTATGTAACCTTTCATAGTATGTATGAAAGTCATATGCATAAAATGGTCAAATATTTCAAACTTGAAGGCTCAAGTGGACTCTAAATGAAGTAATTGAAATAACATAAACATTCTACTATAGCAAAACTATTTCTCCATCCCCTACAATCTCAGACATGATCTGCTATTTCTGGAGGAAAACACATCATGTCGCTCTCTGCACTGCAGGTTCTTTGAATAAGAAATAAACCTTTACCAGTCATTCTTTATTAGAGGAAAAAAATGACCAAATGTCTTCCGTCATCTTGTTTATGTTACAGGACTTCATGTGTACTTTTGATTTATTTGATTATTAGTTACAGAAGATCAAACATCATCTGGTTCTTATAATGTGACATGATGACATGTCACAATTTCACCATGCAGTTGTTTAGCCTTTGACTCATAACAGAGGAAAACACCTTAGATCTATGACTCAACCAGCTCTTATGAGACCTCTACCAGTACCAGTAGACCTTGTCACAATGTGTTCCAGCCTAACCTGTGTTCATCAGAAACATCTCTATCTAAAAGAGAGGGAGAGACCAAAAGGAAAGAGAGATTGAACGAGTGAATGGGGAAGTTCTTGGTGGGACATATGGTTTGTGTTTAAGCCAATCCCAATGGGATAGCTGTGTTTTGGCACTCTGAGCCAGCATCCACTGGTGGAACTGTTCACAGTGAATATATTTTGGGATTCTCGTTATTGTCCGTTTACCTTTAGAAGAACTGGAGATGTTATTTCCTCTTTGGAGGAGTCTATTGAAACCATTTGGAGGGATAGAATGGAGGTGCTGACTGAATGGCTGCACTCTAAGAAAAAAGGGTTCCAAAAGGGTTCTTTGGCTGTCCCCATAGGATAACCCTTTTTGGCTCCAGGTAGAACTCTTTTGGGTTCCATGTAGAACCCTCTGCATAAAGGGTTCTACATAGAACCAAAAAGGGGCCTTCAAAGGGTTATCCTATGGGGACAGCCGAATAACCCTTTTAGGTTCTAGATAGCACCTTTTTTTCTAAGAGTGTTGAGTGGAACATGGGGACATATTGGGCGGATATTAGTGGAAAAGCACAGTTGAAATATCTGTCACATACTGTAGGCTATAATACCCACATACAAGAGTAGAACAAATATTAGGTGAACTTTGCTTCATTTCATGCTAAATGTCAATTCTCTAAGCCCAATAAAGAAGCCCTTTACTTTTCTGAGATGGAGGGTGAAGTCATGATTATTATTTATCCGCTTCTCTCTTCCCTTTCAGGGCCCTTCTGGACCCACATTCTGTTCACCTGGACCCTGAAGGATGGTCTCAACATCTACATCAACGGGACATTCAACACCAGCGACCCCACTGGCAACGTGTCCATGAACTACGGAGACCCTTACCCTGACCTGGTCATTGGGACAGGAAATGACCAGTCCTATGGACGCTATGTGACAGGAGCCTTTGATGAGTTTGTCATCTGGGAGAGGGCTCTGTCACCAGAGGAGATCCTTATGTACTACAAGGCTGCCATAGGTAAGATCACATGTCACCGTCAGTCTGAATTTGTTCCACTCTTTTTTTTCATGATGTGAAATGTTCGCTATGTTCATAATTTCCCCTTGACGGATGTGAGGAGAAAGGGGTTCAAAAGCAATTTCCATCTTGGTCATTGCCATAGACATTCCATCCACAGTACTGACGCATGGAAGACACAAGATATTAAACTGTACAAATCCTCCCCATCTTAAAATCATCTCACATATTTCTACCATAAAAGTGTTTCACAATCTTCCACCTTATAAGGGTCTCACATATTCTACCATATATAAGCATTTCATCTGATAAGGGCCCTGTACTATTACTAAGTGTCCAGTGGGGATATAGGCCTAACAGTTTGGTTTTAGATTAGGGGACTAAACTGATGTTAGACTGAGTGACTGAAGTAAAAAATAAATAAATAATACATTACCTTTTTCATTGCTGCTTTGATTAATCTTGTGTGGTTCTAAAAACTCAAAAGAAATGGATAATGACCTCTGTATAGTCCTAGAAGTGTTATTCAGATCATGGCGAAATGTGTCTGCTGGTAAAAATGGATGAGTCACTAGTTATGCTTATGGTAAATGCTAAAAATGTGGGTGTGGGCACCAATTCCCTGGGGCTTTGTCTAGTAACTAGACACATTGTGAAGGATTCAGGTGGTCATGTTGAATGATTCAGGTGGTCTCAGTACTGTCCCCCCCCCCCCCCCAGACATAACAGACATAAACAACAAAGTTGTTATGGTAATGGAAAGCATTTTATCATGTTATACCTGTAGAGAATGAATGGGACTAAATATGAGCTGACTGTTGGGATGGTCCAAATGTAAAACCATATATGGTAATTTAGTGTTGCTGAGTGCACCTAGTGATATGTTATTTACAGACAGCATGATTTCATGACTTCCTTCCAACATCTCTTTGGCTTGTATAGTACATATATGATGTATTAGGTGGTTAGTTATCTAAAGAGCAGGTACAATCACAAAACACTTATTTTCATCATTCCCTGGCTGGGGGAGGTCCAACCATCATCAGGCACGTACCAAGGAATCATAAATCTTTGGGGCCTGAACAAATCCAGCTCTTCTCTAAGCAATCCATTTGGCATGTAGATAGTGTTCCCATAGATGACAGGTGGAAGAGCACTTTTAATGGTTCTCATATATTTCTCCAACTAGGTGATGCTTGGACCTATCCTACCACAGCAAGTGTTCCTAAAGAAGTCTCCTCTACGACACAAATGCCAGTGAGTTCTCAACTTTGGAGATTTATGCAGATAATACATTTGGTGCCCATCTTGACCTCTTACCATGGGAACGTGCATGTCTTGGAAATTTCAGATGGTTTTCAGGGTTTACAACTAGAACAGACACATGGCAGCCTCACAGGAAATGAGGTATAAGCCTGGTGGTTGAACTGCCACCAACGCAAACAAACAATTAATTCCTTATGGAACTATTGTTTTCCTTTAAGACTGAGGAATTGCATGGAAAAAGGGATATTGAGAGCACATGTGAATGGACCTCTTCTGTTTATTAAACGGCAGTTGTGGACGTAGAGTGGCGAAAGCAGAGACAGCTGTTCAACACAGCACAAAATGGGTCCCTGTACGGCATGAAGCTGGAAAATAAGCAACACTCTTTTACAGCAGACATCTATCCAGAAAGAGTTTTAACTGGATAGGGTAATGGTCAAATAACGGTCCCATTCTGGTCTTGGGAGAGTATCTGTGAAGAATAAAATCTGTTTTAATGCATGGTGCTTTTTCCCCCCAGGGAGTCACAGATGTGTCCTATTCTATCACCACAAAGCTGAGTGAGGAGATCCACAGCTTCCAGGACCCTGTGCCCATGCAAGGCTTCCTGGAGTTTCTGCCATTCAGCCTGCCCAACAAGACCATCCCCCAAGACACTGCCAACAACCTCACACAGGTACTTTAACAAGGATACATGTGTATATACACACACACACACACACACACACACACACACACACACACACACACACACACACACACACACACACACACACACACACACACACACACACACACACACACACACACACACACACACACACACACACACACACACACACACACACACACACACACACACACCAAAGTATGGCGCAGCGGTCTAAGGCACTGCATCTCAGTGCTTGAGGCGTCACTACAGACCCCCTGGTTCGATTCCAGGCTGTATCACAATCGGCCCATAGGGCGGCGCACAATTGGCCCAGCATCGTCCAGGTTTGGCCGGTGTAGGCTGTCATTGTAAATAACAATTTGTTCTTAACTGACTTGCCTAGTTAAATAAATGTTAAATAAAAAATAATAAAATATTGTAATAGTTTGTATCAGGTCACAGACCCATGATGTTGTGTCCCACCCAGGCCTTTCTGAAGAGTGTGGGGGAAGTGCTCTCTTCTGAAGTGGCTCAAGAGGATGAGGTAAATGAGCTCATGATATCTCTGTGAAATCACTGTGTGAAAGTCAATATTGGACAGGATAAAGGCAAATGCGGGTTTACAGTAAACTAGCTATATGATACTAAATTGTGAATATGATCACATTCGTTCTGGCTCTAGTTCAACACTAGCATGTGCGAACACAGGAATGCCTAAAGAGAGTAACGTTTTGAGCAAGTTTGTGGTTTCAATGTTCTGAAGACAGTGAACAAGCACGCTTGTTTCCATATGAGCAAGCTGAACCAGATGTTCTTAGCGCATGAAAACATTAGACTTGGATGTGGTAGAGCATCATCAAAAGGAAGTCAGACGCCAGTTAATACAGTGTATATCAGAGGTGTGCTAACTGCAACCTGGACCCAGGGGTAGACGTAACATAGCAAATGTATTCGTACAATATTTTACGAATTCGCAAATTGTGGCTAACGTTAGCTAGGTGGCTAAGTGTTTAATGCTAACGTTAGTTAGATGGCTAATGTTAGCTAGGCTAGGGGCTAGGGTTAGGGGTTAGGGTTAAGGTTAGGGTTAAGGTTATGAGTTAGGTTAAAGGGTTAAGGTTAGGGGAAGGATTAGCTAACATGCTAAGTAGTTGCAAAATAGCTAAAAAGTAGTAATTAGTAGCAGAATTGCTAATTCGCTAAAATGCTAACGTTGTCCGTGATGAGATTTAAACACGCAACCTTTGGGTTGCTAGATGTTTGCATTATATGCTACCCATCCACCCTGACCAGCCACCCTCCTTCGTTTTTTGCCTTAAGTGACCTTCTGTTTTATGTAACGATACCAAACAGAGCATATCACACTAATTTGAGTGTCAGATTTACATTAACTATGTTACGTCTAGTCTATGAGACCAGGATGGAGGTGGGGACTCCAGTCACATGACTTGGACTCGAGTCTGACTCTGAGTCACAAATTTGATGACTTGAGACTCGACTTTGACTTGCAGCCTCAAGACTCGAGGCTCGACTTTGACTAATTTTGTGGCACAGAGTCTCCGTGGCTAAGGCTACTCTCCACACAGCCAGAGACAGTATCGCACTTGCAAGATTGGCTAGTGAAACGCACACTCGGCCCTCTGATTGAATCAGCAAACGATCAATCAACACAGGTCGGGTGAGCTAGCCCAGTGAGAAGGTGTTGGGGGGTCGCGAGTGTTAAACTGAATGGGGAAAATTATATTTTTTTCATACATATTTTAATAGGCTACATATAGCCTACCATTTGTATTTTATCAGGGGTTGCTGCAGCACCCTCAGCACCCCTACTTCTCGCGGCTATGGAGGCTATATGCCTATGTGTGCTCATGATCTGAGGAGGGGGAGGGCGGATTTAATAATGTAATACTTAGTAGTTAAAATCCAAAAAGGCATTCTGATTGGGCACCTATATAGCCATGCAATGTCATAAGGTACCACCTTCATTACCTTGTTTAGGAAGCTCATTGGATCCCAGGGCAGGGTCAAATTGACAGGTTTTTTTTCTCACAGAGAGGGAAAATGGTTGTTCACTATTGCAGACAGCTACAGCTAGCTTCGTTAAGTTTTGGTAGTGGCGCACTGAATAATTATAGCTAGTTGGCTTAGCTTTGATCAGCATGGATATCTGAAAATGGCTGGGCACTGCCAAGAGCAACAAAAACTGAGGACCACCATGTCGAGACCGATGCCGAGCTCACCGAGCAGCTTGCTAGCCCGACCACCGATGTCGAGGAGCCTAGCAGCAAATGCAGTACCCGCCCATCACCCACGCTGTCTGCTGACCAACTAGATGGAGAAGAGCCATGGCCTAGCACCATCATCACAAGGGTAACATCACAAGTGGACCCCACTCAGTGTTCTTCAAAGATATGGCGGGCCTTTGTCAGCAATGCCGACTGTGCTGTTGGCACTGAAACATGGATTAACATTTGGGGTATCTACGTTTGGGGCCTTCTCCACCCTGAAGAACATATTCAGTGAACACAGACGCAGCATGTTACATAAACGAAAAGCCCAGCTTGTCCAGCTGGCATCTGAGAGGGACCTGACAAGTACATTTCGCCAGGAAGGAGAAGGACATCAGAAACTTCTCATAAGGTGCAACACATCATTGAGGAGGCTGCAGCTCTTCTAAATGGTAAGCTACAACCTTTATGGCCTGGTTGTTTGGCTGATTTGTTTTATGTAATGTGTAGCTACTTTAGGCCTTCGCTTTTTACTTACATGCATGCTAGATTGATCTGTGATTCTTAATGTCATTGCTTGCTTTTGTGGGTCTAATTGCTATTAATAGATATACAGCTTTGAGTTATTTTATGGGTATAGGGACAATGACCAATGTAGCCTATTGGTTGTGCTCTGAGGTGAGCCCTGGCACGGTGCTCCTATTTGTTGCCAAGGCAGCAGCTACTCTTCCTGGGGTCCAGCAACATTAAGGCAGTTATATACAATTTAAAATATTACATGACATTACATTTCATAGCACTTTTCACAACACATTGTGTTCCCTCAGGCCCTACTCTACAACCACATATCTACAATACAAAATCCATGTGTACGTGTGTGTAGAGTGCATGTCTTATCATGTGTATGTGTGTCTGTGCCTGTGTGTCTGTCTCTTCACAGTCCCCGCTGTTTCATAAGGTGTATGATTATCTGTTTTTTAAAATCTGATTCTACTGCTTGCATCAGTTATGGGGAATAGAGTTCCATGTAGCCATAGCTCTATGTAGTACTGTGCGCCTCCCACAGTCTGTTCTTGACTTGGGGACTGTGAAGAGACCTTTGGTGACATGTCTTGTGGGGTATGCATGGGTGTCCGAGCTGTGTGCTAGTAGTTTAAACAGACACTTCGGTGCATTCAGCATGTCAACACTTCTTACAAAAACAAGTAGTGATGAAGTCAATGTCTCCTCCACTTTGAACCATGAGATATTTACATGCATATTATTAATGTCAGCTCTCCGTGTACATTTAAGGGCCAGCCGTGCTGCCCTGTTCTGAGCCAATTGTAATTTTCCAAGGTCCCTCTTTGTGGCACCTGACCACACGACTGAACAGTAGTCCAGGTGCGACAAAACTAGGGCCTGTTGTTAAAAAGGCAGAGCAACGCTTTATTATGGACAGACTTCTCCCCATCTTAGCTACTGTTGTATAAACATATTTTGACCATGACAGTTTACAATCCAGTGTTACTCCAAGCAGTTTAGTCACCTCAACTTGCTCAATTTCCACATTATTTATTACAAGATTTAGTTGAGATTTAGGGTTTAGTGACTGATTTGTCCCAAATACAATGCTTTTAGTTTTTGAAATATTTAGGACTAACTTATTCCTTGCCACCCATTCTGAAACTAACTACAGCTGTTTGTTCAGTGTTGCAGTGATTTCACTCACTGTAGTAGCTGATGTGTATAGTGTTGAGTCATCCGCATACATCGACACACTGGCTTTACTCAAAGCCAGTGGCATGTCATTAGTAAAGATTGAAAAAAGTAAGGGGCCTAGACAGCTGCCCTGGGGAATTCCTGAATCTACCTGGATTATGTTGGCGAGGCTTCCATTAATGAACACCCTCTGTGTTGTGTTAATAATATAATAATAATATGCCATTTAGCAGACGCTTTTATCCAAAGCGACTTACAATCATGTGTGCATACATTTTTACGTATGGGTGGTCCCGGGGATCGAACCCACTACCCTGGCGTTACAAGCGCCATGCTCTACCAATTGAGCTACAGAGGTAACTCTTTATCCACAATATAGCAGGGGGTGTAAAGCCATAACACATACATTTTTCCATCAGCACCATGATCGATAATGTCAAAAGCCGCACTGAAGTCTAACAAAACAGCTCCCACAATCTTTTTATCATCAATTTCTGCCAGCCAATCATCAGTAATTTGTGTAAGTGCTGTGCTTGTTGAATGTCCTTCCCTATAAGCGTGCTGAAAGTCTGTTGTCAATTTATTTACAGTAAAATAGCATTGTTTCTGGTCAAACACAATTTTTTCCAAAAGTTTACTAAGGGTTGGTAACAGGCTGATTGGTCGGATATTTGAGCCAGTAAAGGGGGCTTTACTATTCTTGGATAGCGGATTTACTTTTGCTTCCCTCCACTTTCTAGTAGGCCTAGATTGAAGATATGTCAAATAGGAGTGGCAATATTGTCTGCTATTGTCCTCAGTAATTTTCCATCCAAGTTGTCAGACCCCGGTGGCTTGTCATTGTTGATAGACAACAATACTTTTTTCACCTCTTCCACACTCACTTTATGGAATTCAAAATTACATGCTTGTCTTTCATAATTTGATCAGTTATACTTGGATGTGTAGTGTCAGCGTATGCTAATCTTGCCAATTAAAAAATAATTAAAGTAATTGGCAATATCAGTGGGTTTTGTGATGAATGAGCCATCTGGTTCAATGACTGATGGAGCTGAGTTTGCCTTTTTGCCCAAAATGTCATTAAAGGTGCTCCAAAGCTTTTTACGATTGTCCTGGTTGTCCACTTCGGTGGTGCTGAAATTGGCATTGCATAATTTCATTGCGCTGTCCAAGGTCCTGAATCGATGGTTGCTGTTTTAATGAGCACATCTTGGGCTATCAGTCTTTATGGGGCTTCTCTTCAACATCACGTGCTTTCTTGTGTGCAAAATGACAGTTGTGTATATGGCTGCATTTCAGATAGGCCTACATTTTTGTACATTTTGTATGTCGCAGTAGTATAGGACCAATACCGTGTGTAGCCTACTGAAAGAAGGAGGCAAACGTTCACTCTGTTATCATTCATTTGCATTACAGTCATTGTGTGATAGGCTACTGTAAAAGTGATGCCAATACTATGAAAACAACACAGCCTACTTTATCGCCCCCTCCCTGCTCTCTTCCTATAGGGTGTGTGTGTTGCCCTCTGAATGGGCGTTTACTCTTATTCATGGCAGATTCAAATTGGCTGCTGTCATGTAGGAAATGTCACATCAGCTATGAATATAAAATATGCACTTAGTTTGATTTAGGTTGCTTTTCTGAAACACGCCTACAGAAAGTATTGCTTACTGTAGGTTATGCTCATTGCGTAGTGTCACAAATTAGACAGAAATGTAGCCTATAGTTCTAATTATTGAAGTTTAAACTATGAAGCCTGTAATAATCTTTGATAGCCTAGTGGTGCTCATCGTGTCGAGCTGTTCTGTGCGTGTTGGTTGGCGCAAATTAAGTGTAGGCCTATGGCAGCTATGCTGCATTTCGGATACAGTTGTACAGTATTTCATAGTGGGGCATATATCTTTCTTGTGTTATTATATAAAACAACGGTTGTTGACGTGTACATTTTTATACATTTGAACAGCAGTAGGACCAATCTACCTTGTTTTATTAGGGCTCTAACGCAATACTAGTTGTGCCCCCCCCCCCCCCCCCCCCCCATAGATTTAAAATGCCCTTCAGGCATGTCATCCTTGATATCCCTAGTTGATATTGACTGCTAACATGAATGACTTTCAGCTCAAAATGCAGGTGTAAAACACAGTTTATTTCTGTATCTTGCGTTTTTAAGGCTGTAATGACAGGCTTTATTTGCTCAGTGATTGTGCGTGTGCGGAAGGGCGGGCGCACGCATCTTAACCACTCCTTTTTGGGGTCGCGAGTCAAAATGTTTGAGAACCACTGAACTAGCAAACAAATAGCTGATTTGCTGTACATCTAGCTATACACTGTATAAATAGAAAGACTGAAAACACTGTGATTGTGTAATGAAGCTATAAAAAGTAGTGCTCCTAAAAACATAATAGAAGTATTCTGAAACACCCGAAGTGGTTCTTCAATCTGAATATTTGTGTTTTTAAGAGAGTGTTGTGAAAAAAACTTTTTGGGTTTCAGTGCATGTAAAAGCCAGCGTCAAAACACACGAAACGGTGTCTCATACAATCAAATGGAGAACTGCAAATGGTTTATAGCCTAAATATTGATTTGATTTTTAGAAACAGGAGGAGACAGAGAAGGAGTGAAAGTGGGACAGGCGGAAGCAGGAATTGAACCGCCGACTTCTGGGGCAGTAAGATGGTAGGCTGACATTTCATTGGAATTTCATTGGAATTTTACACTCAACACAGCCACACTGTAAAAAAATATTCTGGGTTGAATTTAAATTTAAAAAACACACAAATATATAACATACTGTATACCTAATACATTTATGCAAGTCATTTTAATGATTTGTTAATTTCATTTGACCCATTTTTGGGGGGAATAAATCCAATGTAATATGTTGCTCAAAATGTAAATATATTTTATGAGGATAAGCAAAGATAGAGAAAATGTAGTTATTGAACTCATTGGAAGTCTGGTTTTAATCTCCTTGCACTTCCTATCTTGCCACGTGGCTCTGTTTTGACAGGATTGTGGGTAATTAAAAAATGTCTGACTTAATGATTCTTTTACACAATGTTGTATGCATGTTTGAAGAAATAAAAGTATACTTCTATATAAAAAATATATATTGTCACAGACACCTGCAGTGAAATGTGTTGTTTTACAGGGTCAGCACCCCTGGAGCAAATTAGGGTTAAGTGCCTTCAAGGGCATTCTTCACCTTGTCGGCTCAGGTATTTGAACAAGCAACCTTTCAGTTACTGACCCAACACGCTAACCGCTAGGCTACCTGTCACCCGGTAATAGTGTTAGTATTAAGCATTTTGTTGTGCCATGAGGTGTAATGGATCATGATGAAAAGCTTTCAAAACCATCAGGCAGAATATTCTCCCGAGTGGCGCGGAGCGGTCTAAGGCACTGCATCTCAGTGCTAGAGGCATCACTACAAACCCTGGTTCGATTCCAGGCTGTATCATAATCCGGCCATGATTGGGAGTCCCATAGGGCGGTGCACAGTTGGCCGGGGTTGGCCGTCATTGTAATTAAGAATTTGTTCTTAACTGACTTGCCTAGTTAAATAAAGGTACAAAAATAAAAGAAAAGACGTTCAATGATGAGACGACCCATTCCCACATTGCAAACTTTTAATGGTAGAGGCAAATACAGTATCCTGCAATGTTTACTGTAAAACCTCTGATTACTGCTGGTGGATTGAGCACTGTGCTTAACAATGCCTGCTAAAATGGGTTAAACTGGCAAATGATCAGATACATAAATCAATGTTAAACATTAAAATAAGAAATGATCTAATTCTGCACTAAACAGAACTTGAAACACCAAAATTGTATTTTCAACCTTTTCCGGTAGTGCTCCCAGTCCCTGGCAAGGTGTTGCACAACACTTGATTAAGTGGTGTTACAACATACCATGTAATGTTTGAAAACATCTCAGGATGATGTGTTTCAATACTCCAGCAAAGTTAAGGTTTCGGCTCCTTTACATTGGTGGCAACTCAGTTGCCGCTAGTTTTGGTGTTACAAAGCACTTCATGTGTAGGATCGGGTGCATCACAAACATCAAATTGTAGTCGGAGAGGATTGCTATAAATATTACATATGCAGATCTAAAAATTGTTTGGTGATCAAGAATATGAACTGTTTACTTTGCAAGCTCACAAGCAATGGGGCATCAAGCAACAATTACTAGCATAGGCCGACTGGTCTTGTGGTATGTCAAAATTGCCTGAAATGTATAATTTATTTATGAAGCTTGAATTTGGAATTTGTTTTTAAAATGTATTATTACATAATCAAAATGTGTTGTAGACTAAATAATAAAAAGGGCTGTCTGGTAGCGTCAATAAATAAACTAAGATTTTGTGACATTGGGACTATAAGGTTCTATCTGCGTGAAGCATAGTTCTGAGATATTGAGCATCAAAGTTTTCACATCCCAGATCTTAGAACCGTTTCGTAGTGAATTGTTCTTTCATAACCCATTAAGGTCCTCACCTTTTAAAGGTACCTAAAGTGCAGAGTATCAAAATCCTGAGACATTTGTAAATCAGTTTGTACCTTATGGCTTAAGGTTCTATCTGACACTTCTGAATTAGACATGTTCAGTTTTTAAGAAGAATGTAGCTATTTGAATACATAAATTATATAATATCACTATTTTACCAAGATAGTCAGAACATATCATCAAATACATTAAGAAATGTATTAAGATCATCAGATGAATTACTGTCATTACTGAACAACAATCATTTACTTTATTTCTGACAGAGTTTTTTGTTGTTGTTGCTTGAGTGCCATTATTGCTGGCTAGACTAGCCTAGACCATACTAAGAGGGTGACGGCAAAGGCGTGTTCTGATTGGTCCATCTGTATTGTTCAGGCTTGTGATTGGATTGCAGATAGAACCTTATAGCGCGAAGTTCAAATTAGTTTATGTAGATCGAACTTTCTAGTTTTTCACTTCCGATTTACTTTTTCTCAAATCTAACTGCACAGACATATGAATAACCATCTAAAGATCTATTATATGTGACTAACTCATTTTTGACAAAAATGTCAGATGGAACCTTATAGTCCCAAGGTCTCGATTTGTAGTTGAACAAGTCATTGCGTGTATAGATTTTTTAAAACTTGACTTGAGACTTGTGACTCGACTTGACTTGACTTGCTCTTAGAATGCACAACTTGTACTTGACTCGAGACTCAACCCATTCTACTTGGGACTCGACTAGAGACTCGAACCTTGTGACGTGAGACTTGCTTGTGACTCGAATAGTAGTGACTTGGTCCCACCTCTGTATATATAGTCCCACTCCCAGCTGATAACACTCTTAAAGCGTGTACAGTAACTACTTGGTTTTATGGTCTATATCAATGATAATTCACCAACTCTCAAAAACTCTCAAAATACAGTAAGTTGTCAGTGTATCTCTGTGAGTGTGAATGTTGTTACTGGACCGTTCGGAGCAGGAGTCCACCCCTGTGGTCAGTGGGCTGATTGAGACAGTGGACAAAGTGATGGTCCAGATGGTGTCCAACCTGGAGTCCAGCCCCAGCCCCCACTCTCTCATCTCTCTGGGAGGAAAGTCCTTTGTAGCAGGTCAGTACCATGGCGACTCAACTCTCTCCAGTCCTGACTGTACTGTATGACTCACACACTGTATTGTCTTACTGTAAAAAAAAAAGAGTGTTAGGGACCCTGCAGATGTAGGATCTTAATTTGAGCTAGTTTGCTACAGCAGGAAAATAATAAATGTGAATTGTTTTGTGCAGTATTATTAATGGAAATTTTTTGTATGGGTTGTTACATTTTTCGTTAGGGGAAAAATCACTTTAGAAGCCTTTTTAAACCCTTGAATACACTACAAGTTTGCATTTCCTGCTTGTGCACCAAACATACAGTACCAGTCAAAAGTTTGGACACATACTCATTCAAGGGTTTTTCTTCATTTTTACTATTTTCTACATTGTAGAATAATAGTGAAGATATCAAAACTATGAAATAACACATGGAATCATGTAGTAACCAAAAAAGCGTTAAACAAATCAAAATATATTTGAGATTTGAGATTCTTCAAAGTAGCCACCCTTTGCCTTGATGACAGCTTTGCACACTCTTGGCATTCTATAAACCAGCTTCATGAGGAATGCTTTTCCAACAGTCTTGAAGGAGTTCCCACATATGCTGAGCACTTGTTGGCTGCTTTTCCTTCACTCTGCGGTCCAACTCATTCCAAACCATCTCAATTGGGTTGAGGTCGGGGGATTGTGGAGGCCAGGTCATTTGATGCAGCACTCCATCACTCTTCTTGGTCAAATAGTCCTTACACAGCCTGGAGGTGTGTTTTGGGTCATTGTCCTGTTGAAAAACAAATGATAGTCCCACTAAGCGCAAACCAGATGGGATGGCATATCGCTGCAGAATGCTGTGGTAGCCATGCTGGTTAAGTGTGCCTTGAATTCTAAATAAATCACAGACAGTGTCACCAGCAAAGCACTCCCACACCATAACACCTCCTCCTCCATGCTTCATGGTGGGAACCACACATACGGAGATCATCTGTTCACCTACTCTGCGTCTCACAAAGACCCGGTGATTGGAACCAAAAATCTCAAATTTGGACTCATCAGACCAAAGGACAGATTTCCACCGGTCTAATGTCCATTGCTCATGTTTCTTGGCCGAAGCAAATCTCTTCTTCTTATTGGTGTCCTTTAGTAGTGGTTTCTTTGCAGCAATTCGACAATGAAGGCCTGATTCACGCAGTCTCCTCTGAACAGTTGATGTTGAGATGTGTCTGTTACTTGAACTCTGTGAAGCATTTATTTGGGCTGCAATCTGAGGCTGGCAACTCTAATGACATTATCCTCTGCAGCAGAGGTAACTCTGGGTCTTCCTTTCCTGTGGCGGTCCTCATGAGAGCCAGTTTCATCATAGCGCCTGATGGTTTTTGCGACTGCACTTAAAGAAACTTTAAAAGTTCTTGAAATGTTCCGTATTGACTGACCTTCATGTCTTAAAGTAATGATGGACTGTCATTTCTCTTTGCTTATTTGAGCTGTTCTTGCCATAATATGGACTTGGTCTTTTACCAAATAGGGCTATCTTCTGTATACCACCCCTACCTTGTCACAACACAACTGTTTGGCTCAAACGCATTAAGAAGGAAAGGAATTCCACAAATTAACTTTTAACAAGGCACACCTGTTAATTGAAATGCATTCCAGGTGACTACCTCATGAAGCTGGTTGAGAAAATGTGCAAAGCTGTCATCAAGTCAAAGGGTGGCTACTTTGAAGAATCTTAAATATAACACATATTTTGATTTGTTTAACACTTTTTTGGTTACTACATGATTCCGTATGTGTTATTTTTATTTTGATGTCTTCACTATTATTCCCCCCCAATGGGATTAAGGTCTGGGGAGTTTCCTGGCCATGGACCCAAAATGTCGATGTTTTGTTCCCCGAGCCACTTAGTTATCACTTTTGCCTTATGGCAAGGTGCTCCATCATGCTGGAAAAGGCATTGGTCGTCACCAAACTGTTCTTGGATGGTTGGGAGAAGTTGCTCTCGGAGGATGTGTTGGTACCATTCTTTATTCATGGCTGTGTTCTTAGGCAAAATTGTGAGTGAGCCCACTCCCTTGGCTGAGAAGCAACCCCACACATGAATGGTCTCAGGATGCTTTACTGTTGGCATGACACAGGACTGATGGTAGCGCTCACCTTGTCTTCTCCGGACAAGGTGTTTTCCGGATGCCCCAAACAATCGGAAAGGGGTTTCATCAGAGAAAATTACTTTACCCCAGTCCTCAGCAGTCCAATCCCTGTACCTTTTGCAGAATATCAGTCTGTCCCTGATGTTTTTCCTGGAGAGAAGTGGCTTCTTTGCTGCCCTTCTTGACACCAGGCCATCCTCCAAAAGTCTTCGCCTCACTGTGCGTGCAGATGCACTCACACCTGCCTGCTGCCATTCCTGAGCAAGCTCTGCACTGGTGGTGCCCGATCCCGCAGCTGAATCAACTTTAGGAGATGGTCCTGGCGCTTGCTGGACTTTCTTGGCCCTGACTCCTTCTTCGCAACAATTGAACCTCTCTCCTTGAAGTTCTTGATGATCCAATAAATGGTTGATTTAGGTGCAATCTTACTAGTAGCAATATCCTTGCCTGTGAAGCCCTTTTTGTGCAAAGCAATGATGGCAGCACATGTTTCCTTGCAGGTAACCATGGTTAACAGAGAAAGAACAATGATTTCAAGCACCACCCTCCTTTTAAAGCTTCCAGTCTGTTATTCTAACTCAATCAGCATGACAGAGTGATCTCCAGCCTTGTCCTCGTCAACACTCTCACCTGTGTTAACGAGAGAATCACTGACATGATGGCAGCTGGTCCTTTTGTGGCAGGGCTGAAATACAGTGGAAATGTTTTTTGGGGATTAAGTTCATTTTCATGGCAAAGAGGGACTTTTCAATTAATTGCAATTCATCTGATCACTCTTCATGACATTCTGGAGTATATGCAAATTGCCAACATCAAAACTGAGGCAGCAGACTTTATGAAAATTAGTATTTCTTTCATTCTCAAAACTTTTGACCACGACCTGTAGATAAGCTTGCATCGTCTCTCTCCCAGGGGCTAAGTCAAATCTTTGATCCGCACATTAATCATCACCACCACCAGATAACACTGTGCCTTTGGCTCCCAGTCAGAACCCCTCAGGCCTGGTGTTGGAGTTAGTTAACCACTCACAGTGGTCCCTCTCTGTTTCTAACCTCTGACCCGAACAGATTACTCTCTAATGAAGATCCCACAGAACTACAATCTTCCACTCTACCGCTTCCCCACTCAAGGAAAGAACTACATCTCAGTGCCCGGCGAGGCGTTCACCATGCAGTGTGAGTTCCCTACATCTCATTTCACTATTTTTCTACAAACATACATTTACATACTTACTCTCTCAAAGCAATTCATATTTTGCTGCTAGAATATAACATAGGCTCATCTTTCTTTTGTGTCCGGCTCTTACTCCTCTTGGATTGAATTTGAATAAATACTTCTCATTAGTTCTGCACACTGTTTCTGCCAAGAGAAAATTGCCCAACTGGGAAGCCCTTGTTATTGGGCAGTAGTTTTTTCTGATGATAGGATTAGAGACCTTTAACACAGCAGAAGGTAGTGTGTGAGAGAGCCATCGTGGGACTGTTCGTGATGCTTTAAAGTACAGTTGTACAGCTACAGTGCTGTATGACTTTTATGCATAGATGTATCATTGACTACTTTAGACACACCAGAGAGAGTTAGAGAGAAAGAGACTTGTCATCCACTTTACTGACCATTAAAATGAAACCCCTCCACTCACAGTGAACTCATTTATTTGCTTAGCTCACTCTTATCGGCGCTGTGAGCGCTGTGAGTGCTGGTTAGGCAGTAATTACGGCAGTATTAAAACTGTTTGTTTGACTTGTGTTCGGGTCAGATCCACTTGGCTCCACCTGGCCCCCAAACGCACTGCGTTGCTACACTAACATTTAAATTTAAAAAATGTATAATCTATTAAAGCACCATTATCAGAAATGGAATATAAATGTTACTGCTGGCAACATAAGCTCCTAGATTGAGTTAATGTAACATTGTGCATCCTGACACATGGCATACTGTATTAAAGGCACCAAGTGGAGCTTTTATAAGCCAATTAAGTGCAGAGAAAGTGATTTTTTTTCTCTTGGACTGAGATACTTCCAAGTATTAATAAAAAGTTTAAGGCAAACTGGCCACCAACTGATCTCTAAAAGGATTTGGTAGGGGGCATTACACTCATTACATTCAAAACCTTCATATACAATGGCCGTGTCTGAAATCTATCTTGCCTACTACTTACTAAAATGATATAATGTGTACTAATCGAACTACATACTATTTATTATGTACTGTTTAGTAAAAAAATATCAACATACTTGGCTCCCCCATGCTGAGAATCTAATGCGCAATTGTGTAGATTCCCGCCATTCGTTCATTTGGATACAGCACGTCCCCTTACCTTATTATCAACTGATTATCAGCTGTTGTCAAACGTCTGGAAAGACAATTCTCTTCTTCAAAAGTGTGCAGCGAATTCTACTACATGAAAAGCTGAAATTAGTATAACATCCTGGCATTTAAAGCATACGCGATTTTCTAAATTTCACATACTATTAAACATTATTTTCGCATACCTAAAATGCTTACTATTTAGAATGCAAGTATGGGTATTCTAGCACGGCCTATGTATTTTCAAGACCGTTTTTTTTTTTTCTTACTCAGTGAGGTGGATTTCATTGAATGAAAAAGGGGTACTTTGACCACCAAGCGTTTCAGATCCCTCTCTAGTTGTCATTGTTTACCATGTTGTATGGTAGGTGGGACTGGTTTAGGTGGTGGGGTGGTGCGGGTAGTGCATAGGACCAGGCCACAGGCCTCCTGCTGTACTGTTTTAGTCATGGCGCTGTGACTTGCATCATTTCCCAACACACATGTGGTCCGTGGTAACCCTCCGTCTCACCCGTGTGTGAGCATACAGCTCTCCCATTAGTCAGGGAGTGCCAACCTGAGGCAGCGAGGCTGTGTTAATTAAGTTCCCCTCCCTGTGAGCATTTTAGCAGCGCCTCATCACATTCTCAGCCCTGCTGTGAGTCTGTGTTTCACCTTTGACCACTCTCTCCCCTTCCTCCCTCCCTCTCCCCTTCCTCCCTCCCTCTCCCTTTCTCCCCTCCCTCTCTTCCCTCCCTCTCTTCCCTCCCTCTCTTCCCCTCTCTCTCTTCCCTCCCTCTCTTCCCCTCCCTCTCTTCCCCTCCCTCTCTTCCCTCCCTCTCTCCTCCCCTCCCCTTCTCCCCTCCCTCTCTTCCCCTCTCACTCCCTCCCCCTCCTGAACCTCCTTCCCCCCCTCTCCCTCCCTTCCCCTCTCCCTCTCTCCCTCTCCCTCAGCCCAAACCACCATTGTGGGTGTGTTCTACCACAACATGCACAACTACTACACAGGGATCAGCCCCCTCAGGACCAGGTAAGGGGGATGGGAGGACACATAAAGAGCCCTGATCATACCAAACAGGAATGCTCTCTGTGCATGAATTATGAACCATTTACTAGTGTGATATAAGATTATCCTGACGAAACACAGTACAGTAGACAGCAAAGTTGGTTTAGGGCCTGCAAAAAGTAATGTCATATTCTAATTTATAAGCATTTAGTTGAAAAGACTTGAGGTTGTCGAATCATCTGTTTGGAATGAGACTAGTCCGAAGAGTACGCAATAAACAAAATTGTTTACTTTGCACGCCGTGCAATTATGAATTACCGCCATTGAGAATAAGTGATTTCAGATAATCTAAGGGATGTTATGGCACTAAGCGCTCTGAGCGTCAGCCAGGATCACTTCCTGTGTGTCTCCCCTGGTGGAGTGGCGCCCCTGTTTCCTGTCGCCAAGAACGGATCATGCCTGGGGCCAGTCCTTATCAGTCTCCCACCAGGCTGTCTCTCATCTCACCACTTAACCTCCACTGATTGATACACCCTGCCATTAACTTCATACAGGATCTTTACCCCATACTTCTTTCCCCATCAATAGGGGAAGCGTATTTTGATAATGCTGTGACATTTATTCTTTGCATGACTTGGAATTTTATTAAAGTAATTAAGTGGTATAGGCCTAAACAATCTTCTTTGCTTTAAAACATGTAGTTACTGGCAGACTTCATCAATGGCATAATTGTGTCTAGAAATACAGCTTTTATGCTCAATGAGTTGGAATGACTGTATTGTGGCCCTCAATACAGCACGTAGCTTTGACTGCCTCTTCAGAAATCCAGCTCTAAATGTAATATGTGTAAGTTTTAAGGCACTTCGGATCAATCCGCTTCTGCAACAATATATAACAATATACTTTCTTCTAAACAAGTTTCTCAGTAAATCGGGATGATAATGATAAACACTCATGTTTACTTTACAATTGATGGTGAGGTTAGTTCATAATGGTTGTGTTTCACTCCCCAGTGGGTGAGAATGTCCCTCTGTATGATGATACGGGGTGTCACTTACCTGTTGACCTAGAAAAGCTCCTGACGAGATGCTGTGTTTTCACTGTGATTGATGACATGACAGATGTATCAGAGTCTCACTCCCATGCTACTGTTCTGAGCCCTCTGTGACACTACTGTGTAGATAGAACACCCCAGCAGAGCTCTCATTGGTGTTAGAAAGACATTCTGTATCATCTCTCGCTCTCATAGGATCAACGAGGCGGCTGATTTCAAAGACCATAAGATCCAGGTGGCCAGTTTCCTCATCTCACTGAAGGTGGAGCCATCGCCTGCTCTATCCGTCAACCTGTCTGGGTCTCCGCTCATCAAGATCGTCCTCACACACATCCTGGTAAGAGTACATCACCAACACAAATACACCACCTAGGATTACTCCAGTGTATTGAATTACCAAGCTATGTCAATGGATTACCATTTTATTGGCCATAAGAAACCTTTAATCTCTGTTCTTAGTGAAGGACTTGAAATTGTGCTGAAAAACTGCTTGGCAATAGTTTTCCTGAAATAAGCAGCACAATTGTTGGGGGTGGTATTCTTACCTTATCAGAAGGTATAAGGGTGTGATTTTTAGACTATTTTTAGGTGTTTTCTCTCACAGTATGTGAAAGGAACTGTGTTTCTTGTGGAAAGAGGATTGAAAATGTCCCAACCTCTTTATTGAAACACAAGTGATTCTGGACATTTGAACTGTAGGCTTTGGGCACTTTTAAAGGAACAATAATTTGAGTTCATGAATAGCATATTTTTTGCCTTTCTGCTTTGTTGCAGGGATTTAGGGGAGAAAGTGTTGCCAGCTTTCCATGGGAAATGCATTTGAAACCCATAATGAAAGTTCACTTAGAAAATGTGTATGGCAATTGTTAGCCCTCCTCTAAATGCAGAAATGCAATAGAGAGCTCTAAAGTCCATCCATAGAGCGCTCTACTTACTCCAACAAACACAAAGAGTAAGAATGATCGAATCATCCCATCCACCTTATTTTCCATAAACATTCGATAGTTGCATAAGGACCAAATGGCCTCAAGATATCATCCAATAGGAATTTTATCCAATATTTTTTAGCAAAAATAAGATGTGATCGTTTTCCATCAGCAGCTAACATAAGCAGCCTGTCCATTACACTTGGAGAGAATGTGCTTGCCCTGCCATGTGAGCTGCTCAGTTGAAAATATTCACTTCCTAGTGAACCGCCATCAAAGGTGTCCGTCTCTCTTAAGAGCACAAATGCAAACCATGCGGCTTTGTGAAACCATGGCAATGGGTGCTGTTTGCCTCCATTTTCCCTTTGGAAATAAATGTTTATGCTGCAGTGATCTGGCCGCGTTCTGGTGACATGAGTACTGTGTTTGTTTTAGCAGACACTACGGGAGAGGGGAGAATGTCTGTCTCTTATGAAGTGCTGGAGATGTGTTCCAGTGCTCTTTCATCTTGATTCAAGGTGTTTCTATTTACAGTCACTGAGATTGCCTTACTGCTCGTTGTTATGGTGCCAAAATAAAGTCGTGATAAATCAATGGTTTTCACAGAAATCCCCATCCAATCAACATTGGTCTTGTGTCAATTCCAGTGACACCAAATATGCACTACTGCTGCTTTCATGAGTCCTATGCCAAATTACCATACAGTAAGTGTCAACACCTAACATAAGACAATATACAGTAGCTGAGACTTACTGTGCATTTGGAAAGTATTCAGACCCCTTGACTTTTTCCACATTTTATTACGTTACAGCCTTATTCTAAAATTGATTAAATAAAATCTACACACAATACCCCATAATGACAAAGTGAAAAAAGGTTTTTAGAAATTTTAGGAAATGTATTAAAAATAAAAAAACAGATACCTTATTTCCATAAGTATTCACACCCTTTCCTATGAGACTCGAAATTGAGCTCAGGTGCATCCTGTATCCATTGATCATCCTTGAGATGTTTCTACAACTTGATTGGAGTCAACCTGTGGTAAATTCAATTGATTGGACATGATTTGGAAAGGCACACACCTGTCTATATATGTCCCACAGTTGACAGTGCATGTCAGAACAAAAACCAAGCCATGAGGTCGAAGGAATTGTCTGTAGAGCTCTGAGACAGGATTGTGTTGAAGGCACAGATCTGGGGAAGGGTACCAAAACATTTCTGCAGCATTGAAGGTCCCCAAGAAAACAGTGGTCTCCAACATTCTTAAATGGAAGATGTTTGGAACCACCAAGACTCTTCCTAGAGCTGGCCGCCCGGCCAAACTGAGCAATCGGGGGAGAAGGGCCTTGGTCAGGGAGGTGACCAAGAACCCGATGGTCACTCTGACAGAACTCCAGAGTTCCTCTGTGGAGATGGGAGAACGTTCCAGAAGGACAACCATCTCTGCAGCACTCCACCAATCAGGCCGTTATTGTAGAGTGGCCAGACGGAAGCCACTCCTCAGTAAAAGGCACATGACCGACCACTTGGAGTTTGCCAAAAGGCACCTAAAGAACTCTGACCATGAGAAACAAGATTCTCTGGTCTGATGAAACCAAGATTGAACTCTTTGGCCTCAATGCCAAGCGTCACGTCTGGAGGAAACCTGGCACCATCCCTACGGTGAAGCATGGTGGTGGCAGCATCATGCTGTGGGGATGTTTTTCAGTGGCAGGGACTGGGAGACTAGTCAGGATCGAGGGAAAAATGAACGGAGCAAAATACAGAGAGATCCTTGATTAAAATCTGCTCCAGAGTGCTCATGACCTCAGACTGTCCTTCCAACGGGACAACAGGACAACGACCCTAAGCACACAGCCAAGACAACGCAGGAGTGGCTTCGGGACAAGTCTCTGAATGTCCTTGAGTGGCCCACCCAGAGCCCGGACTTGAACCCGATCGAACATCTCTGGAGAGAGTCTAGGGTTGTGGCGGTCACGACATTCAGTCAGCTGGTGATTGTCAAGCAAATAACTGTCGGTCTCACAATAATTTACTGTTAATTAACATAAACACATTTAGCATCTCCTTGCTTCCACACATAGCCTGCAAGGCACTGATGCAGACCCTCTACATTTTAAAAAGTATAATAAATCCATGTAATATAGCCTACACCTTCACAATAAATCCATTATTTATTTTAGACAGGTCTAAAGAAACGTGATATGAAGAAAATGTAGTCTATTTCAGATAACAGAATAGCATACTCTGAGTTGTTGTTATGTTAGGTACTGATCTGGCTATGCCATACGGCTGTGGCCTACACTAGTTCATTTAACAGACAAGATTTGCTTAGAATTCCGTGGCATTGTTTTCTATTATTTTGTAGTATGAAGAATACAATTGAACAAAGCTGAATAAAATAGAAAGGATATTTTCTCCAAACGATTTGAGGGCTATTCGGTGTTGAGCAGTTAACAAAGAAATAGGTAATCCTATATGCTTAATTTACAGTTATTAATGTAACTTTAGTTGTTCTACAAACGTTGGGCTATATGTTTAGATTTTTAATACATTGTAAGGCTGCATGATGCGACTCTAATGATGATTTGAAAAAAGTCGCTTGAAAGGCATGAGCTCTGCTTTGTTTTTTGCGCAGGCTGTACACACTTCATCAGTCTCTCATTCACAATTTGAGAAGCATTTGATAATGCCTTGAATTTCCTGGCGGCATCCCCTTTGTGTGGCTGTAATGCACCCTAAGAAAATCCATGCCTCCCTGAGTGCTACGTGCTACGTGCTCCGAAGCACCTCTCACTCACATGGCTCTCCATCACGTGATCAGGTCTTTCTCACAGGCTACAAGTGAAGACAGACACATCGGGGACACAACTGCGCGCGTCCTTATCCAATTCCAAGGTGCATATTGAAGATATTAGATAAACTGTCCACATTTACTTTTCGTCAGTCAACAAGATGAGTAGGCCTAACAAACAGCAAAAGCACTAGCCTATGTCAATCTACTATCCCTCATAGTACAAAAGTTGACCTATTCTGTGCGAGAAATAAATATTCCAAACATAGTCTGGGACAGTTGTGGGATGTGATAGATTCCAAATGAACCTTTTTTACGGAATGAGGCTGACGCAACAGATCAGAATGTTTCGCTTAAAATCTTGATAAACCATTAGGCTATTTCTTCACATTATAAGCGCAGCAATGTGCACACAGCAGTAGGCTATAAGCGTGAATATTCCATTAGCGGGAAAACACCATTATCAAATGTGACCACAAATGCGATTATGTATTTATTATAAAGGTGCATTTTTATGATGAAAATTATCTTCCCCAAACTTCAAACTCATGCGCTGCTTATGTATGCCAGTTAGGCTCTACACCCCTTGTAAAGCAGATGAATGTGCTTAATTTTAAGAAGTTATTTGGCCACTTTAGTTGTGATACAAACCTTATCAAAACATATAGGCCTATGGGCTATGCTACATGAGGTGTGTGACTATGATTAGGGCATCATGCACAAGTGATAATATATAATTCACAAGTGATAGGCTAATATTATCACCCATCAGACTATTCTTGATTTAATCTTGTCTTTACATAAACTACCAGTCAAAAGTTTGGACACACCTCAAGCGTTTTTCTTTATTTTTACTATTTTTTACATTGTAGAATAATAGCGAAGACATCAAAACTATTAAATAACACATATTGAATTATGTAGTAACCAAAAAAGTGTTAAACAAATCAAAATATATTTAATATTTGAGATTCTTCAAATAGCCACCCTTTGCCTTGATGACAGCTTTGCACACTCTTGGCATTCTCTCAACCAGCTTCATGAGGTAGTCACCTGGAATGCCTTCTTAAAGGTTAATTTGTGGAATTTCTTTCCTTAAGGCGTTTGAGCCAATCAGTTGTGTTGAGACAAGTTGGGGTGGTATACAGATGATAGCCTAATTGGTAAAAGACCAAGTCCATATTATGGCAAGAACAGCTCAAATAAGCAAAGAGAAACGACAGTCCATCATTACTTTAAGACATGAAGGTCAGTCAATACGGAACATTTCAAGTTTCTTGAAGTGGAGTCGCAGAAACCATCAAGCGCTATGATGAAACTGGCTCTCATGAGGACCGCCACAGGAATGGAAGACCCAGAGTTACCTCTACTGCAGAGGGTAAGTTCATTAGAGTTACCAACCTCAGAAATTGCAGCCCAAATACAGTGGGGGAAAAAAGTATTTAGTCAGCCACCAATTGTGCAAGTTCTCCCACTTAAAAAGATGAGAGAGGCCTGTAATTTTCATCATAGGTACACGTCAACTATGACAGGCAAAATGAGAAAAAATAATCCAGAAAATCACATTGTAGGATTTTTAATGAATTTATTTGCAAATGATGGTGGAAAATAAGTATTTGGTCAATAACAAAAGTTTCTCAATACTTTGTTATATACCCTTTGTTGGCAATGACACAGGTCAAACGTTTTCTGTAAGTATTCACAAGGTTTTCACACACTGTTTCTAGTATTTTGGCCCATTCCTCCATGCAGATCTCCTCTAGAGCAGTGATGTTTTGAGGCTGTCGCTGGGCAACACAGACTTTCAACTCCCTCCAAAGATTTTCTATGGGGTTGAGATCTGGAGACTGGCTAGGCCACTCCAGGACCTTGAAATGCTTCTTACGAAGCCACTCCTTCGTTGCCCGGGCGGTGTGTTTGGGATCATTGTCATGCTGAAAGACTCAGCCACATTTCATCTTCAATGCCCTTGCTGATGGAAGGAGGTTTTCACTCAAAATCTCACGATACATGGCCCCATTCATTCTTTCCTTTACACGGATCAGTCGTCCTGGTCCCTTTGCAGAAAAACAGCCCAAAAGCATGATGTTTCCACCCCCTTGCTTCACAGTAGGTATGGTGTTCTTTGGATGCAACTCAGCATTCTTTGTCCTCCAAACATGACGAGTTGAGTTTTTACCAAAAAGTTATATTTTGGTTTCATCTGACCATATGACATTCTCCCAATCCTCTTCTGGATCATCCAAATGCACTTCAGACGGGCCTGGACATGTACTGGCTTAAGAAGGGGGACACGTCTTGCACTGCAGGATTTGAGTCCCTGGCGGCGTAGTGTGTTACTGATGGTAGGCTTTGTTACTTTGGTCCCAGCTCTCTGCAGGTCATTCACTAGGTCCCCCCGTGTGGTTCTGGGATTTTTGCTCACCGTTCTTGTGATCATTTTGACCCCAAGGGGTGAGATCTTGCGTGGAGCCCCAGATCGAGGGAGATTATCAGTGGTCTTGTATGTCTTCCATTTCCTAATAATTGCTCCCACAGTTGATTTCTTCAAACCAAGCTGCTTACCTATTGCAGATTCAGTCTTCCCAGCCTGGTGCAGGTCTACAATTTTGTTTCTGGTGTCCTTTGACAGCTCTTTGGTCTTGGCCATAGTGGAGTTTGGAGTGTGACTGTTTGAGGTTGTGGACAGGTGTCTTTTATACTGATAACAAGTTCAAACAGGTGCCATTAATACAGGTAACGAGTGGAGGACAGAGGAGCCTCTTAAAGAAGAAGTTACAGGTCTGTGAGAGCCAGAAATCTTGCTTGTTTGTAGGTGACCAAATACTTATTTTCCACCATAATTTGCAAATAAATTCATTAAAAATCCTACGATGTGATTTTCTGGATTTTTTTCCCTCAATTTGTCTGTCATAGTTGACGTGTACCTATGATGAAAATTACAGGCATCTCTCATCTTTTTAAGTGGGAGAACTTGCACAATTGGTGGCTGACTAAATACTTTTTTTCCCCACTGTAAATGTTCTCAACATCAACTGTTGAGAACATTTAACATCAACTGTTCAGAAGGGACTGTGTGAATCAGGCCTTCATGGTCGAATTTCTGCAAAGAAACCACTACTAAAGGACACCAATAATAAGAAGAGACCTGCTTGGGCCAAGAAACACGAGCAATGGATATTAGACCGGTGGAAATGTGTTCTTTGGTCTGGAGTCGAAATTGGAGATTTTTGGTTCCAACCACCATGTCTTTGTGAGACGCGGTGTGGGTGAACGGATGATCTCCGCAAATGTATTTCCCACCGTAAAGCATGGAGGAGGAGGTGTTATGGTGTGGGGCTGCTTTGCTGGTAACACAGTCTGTGATTTAACCAGCATGGCTACCACAGCATTCTGCAGCGATACGCCATCCCATCTGGTTTGAGCTTAGTGGGACTATCATTTGTTTTTCAACAGGACAATGACTCAACACACCTCCAGGCTGTGTAAGAGCTATTTTACCAAGAAGGAGAGTGATGGAGTGCTGCATCAGATGACCTGGCCTCCACAATCCCCCAACCTCAACCCAATTGAGATGGTTTGGAATGAGTCGGACGGCAGAGTGAAGGAAAAGCAGCCAACAAGTGCTCAGCAAATGTGGAAACTCCTTCAAGACTGTTGGAAAAGCACGCCAGGTGAAGCTGGTTGAGAGAATGCCAAGAGTGTGCAAAGCTGTCATCAAGGCAACGGGTGGCTATCTCAAATATAACATATATTTAGATTTGTTTAACACTTTTTTGGTTACTACATGACTCCATATGTGTTATTTCATAGTTTTGATGTCTTCACTATTATTCTACAATGTAAAAAATTATAAAAATAAAGAAAAACCCTTGAATGAGTAGGTGTTCTAAAACGTTGGACCGGTAGTGTATGTGTGAAATTCGTTTTGATTTAGAATGAGCCATTATCATGCACCTGTCTCGAAGCAGGGCAAAAAATACCTGTCATCTCTACACTTAAATAGTGACTGGAGGACGCTTTTCCCGTGGTTCATTTTCATGCCAGCCAGGTAGGCTATACTCCTGGTCTAAAGATAAGCATTGTGCTTAATATTTGCTTAATATTAGGAAAGTTGAGAAATAAATATAGTAAGCCTATAGAAAGCTGATGAGATCCTCCTCTTTTTAATAGAGGCCATCACTCTGTTTTCTTGCGCAATTGCATAGCCTATAGAAATGTTGTGCAACATGAGCTCATGGGCTCTCATGAAGTGTTTGATTAGATTTTCGATTACATTTGCATTGATGTCAGAGTGATTAGAGGGGCAATAGAGTGCTGAGTACCAGGCAGTTAGCAAGTTTGGCTTGGAGAAGCCTAATTACCGTGACTAAATGGTCACGTGGAATTTGACTGCCTTCATGACTCGTGACCACTGGTGTGGCGGTAATACGTAATACGGTCAACGCAACAGCCCTAGGAGAGATCTGAAAATAGCTGTGCAGCGACGCTCCCCATCCAACCTGACAGAGCTTGAGAGGATCTGCAGAGAAGAATGGGAGTAACTCCCCAAATACAGGTGTGCCAAGCTTGTAGCGTCATATCCAAGAAGACTTGAGGCTGTAATCGCTGCCAAAGGTGCTTCAACAAAGTACTGAGTAAAGTGGTATTGTGTGTAGATTGATGAGGGAAAAAAAGAAAATGTTATCCATTTTAGAAAAAGGCTGTAACGTAACAAAATGTGGAAAAAGTCAAGGGGTCTGAATACTTTCCGAATGCACTGTATATTTAGAAGTTGCATACCTCACACATCACTTTTTGTCTGTAACCATAACCAGAAAAAAAGTTAATATGCTATTACTGGTCTGCTGTGAGCTGGGGGATAGATTCAGCCCAAAAGTGACTGACTATTTTTGGAATTTGTGTCTTTGGGAGCTGGTGGATACTTCACCCTCCAAACTAGGAGAGGGAAACTGCTAACACACTATGTGGAAGACCTTTCCCGTCATTGTTCACTCCACTCTTTACTGTCTGTCTAAGTCCACTCCCAAAATGGCCTCCCGTGGTGTGCCTTCACTGCTCAGGGGTAGCTAAATGATTTGTGATTGACCCTTCTGCTTTCCCAACGGTTTTAGCCAGCGAGAGGAGAGAGAGAGACATCTAGTCACTTCAATCAAGTCTGAGAAGGGGAATTGTGTCAGCAGCAGCATAGTCCTGTCAGCTCCCCCATATTTCACCGTACTGGTCATGGTGCCATGGTAACAACAGGTCCTGTGTATTAGTAACACAGTAGTAGAACAGCAGTCACTGTCAGGTCTCGAACACAACAGTAGACACCTTTGACCATTTACCTCCTTTATCTCACATGGAGGACACCTGTCTTATGGGCAGCAAAATAAAAACAATGTCATGAATCCTATTGCTGTGAATGCCTAAAACTATAGGGAATTCATTGACGCTGTCACCAGTCGTAATAATCCATAATGACCTTGTCTTATAGCTATTAGCATCGTTCACAGGGGAGGCCAAACAGGTCTGAACGGATGGCCAATGAATCTGGCCTTGCATCTGTGAATGATAACCTGTGAGCTCAGACCCTCACCAAACATCTAGTGAGGTCATTTCCTTCCAGAGCTAACTGGCCGTGCCGTATCAGTCCGGTCCAAGGTGAAGCCACGCCAGCCAATAGGGTTCTGGGAAGAGGCTCCGATACAGAGCGAAAGTGTTATTGGGTCTCTCAGAGACCTGTGAGCTTTCTCACGCCATTCTGCACTAGTGCTGATTGGGCCCTGGCTCCAGCTGTGATTTATTAGCCCTGTCCGACGTGGGCCTGGCGTGGGAGGACCAGCGGAGAGGAGAGGGGGCACTGGGGTCTGTAGTTAAACATTAATACATCCATAAAAGACCTGCTGCCCCTCCCCATGCCCCTCCCCATTCTCCTCTTCAAAGCTTCACACTGATGGTATGAGGTGAAGAAATGGAAAGAGTGATTTCACGAGGAATGCCGGTGTTGTTCAGTGTCAAAATTGAAAGGATAGAAAAAAGGTTTTGACAAGCAGGACTTGAGTTTACGGGCTAATAAAGCTGTGTGTTGGAGTGGCGGCAGCAGCTCCATGAGAGGGACTGTGGGCAGCGGAGGAATGGAGAGGGACTGTGGGCAGCGGAGGAATGGAGAGGGATTGTGGGCAGCGGAGGAATGGAGAGGGATTAGTGTAGGAGCGGTGGTGGCCTCTGTCTCTTCCAGAACTGACCCATACATCCATACTGTACTACAGAAGCCCCTTTTATCAGGTACTGGAATGAAAGGGCTAGAATGAATGTTCTGTTTCATATTGACTTCATTTTATAGATCTTGCTTTTACCCTGTAATTGATCACATTTTTATCTATCTACTGTATGTCTTTTAAAAACAAAAGGGGATAGGAGAATGATGGAGTGTTTCTTTGGAGGGGAGAGCAGGCTAGTGATTGCAAGTCTAGTATACTTTCAGGAGCTTCCAAGTAAGGGTGGAATGATGAATAACTGTGGATTAATTAATCATGAACTGGGAAAATAAACCCACCAAAACCTTTTTAAGAACCCTGATACCCAATATTTTTTAAACAAGTAAGCCAAAGCTGGTATCAGTCCTCTCTGCCACTATAATAAGCAGTCTTTATTGCCAGATTATTTTTATAACTCTCAGTACACACCCAACCCAAACCCTGTGGGTGAGTCTCTCTCTCTCTCCCTCCCTCCCTCCCTCACACACAGACTCTCTTACACATTTGGGCCAGCTCGGTGATCAATCGCAGATGGAGGTCTGGCGATAGCTATCCTTCTCTTGCCAGGAGCTTTGCATTAAGGGTCTCACTCCCCCCGCCTCACTTTCTTTCTCCCTTGCTCTGTTCCCCTTTCCCAGAGTTACTCAGATGGAACTTTCTTTCAATTTCCTTGTGCAAAAGAGAAAGTGATGGTTTGGCACATACAGTATTTTTAAGTAACATTCCCCCATATTCACACAACTCTTTGAAAATACCAATATCTCCAACAGAGCTTGGTGTAGTGTGATTGTATTTATCCCAGCACTAAGCCAAGTCATTTCCAAAAGTAAAGCTTGTTAGAATACAATTCCTAGTACCTTGAGACACTTCCTAGAAATTCAACAGCGTGCCATACTATTTTGCAACCAAGGATATTGCAATATAACTGGAGTGAGCTTGTTAGACTTCCAGATCTCGGCATCCCGCCCTATCAAAACAAAATGGCAACTTCACTTTTCTTCACACCCTTCACACTTATCAACACTTCCATAGTTGTTTTGTGTGTCTACTGAGGAGGCTCAGCCCAGACCACAGCTGCAAGCCTTACATTTCCCCTGACATCATGACCTCACTCTGCTCTGGGCCAGTTGTGTTGTCCAGTGCTGCTCAGATGGTTTCTCCACATGCTCTAAATGAGTTGGTGTGTCTGTCATCATGGACCTTCATAGCAACATTACCTGTTCATTAAGCCCAAACTGTGCTGGGGTTAGCTTAGACCCAGCATTTTAAAGTGGATCCCAGTCTGAAAGGATCTCATAACAGATCTCAGGTCAGTGATGTGTCACTGTGATACTAACCTGCTGTGCTGTGGTCCATTTGGCTTGCTGGACTGGATAGTGTTTCACTGCACCTCTGTGTGCCTGTCCCAGACATAGAGCAATAAAGTGTTTCCTTTTGTGGCTAATTTCAGCTACAGTAAATGTTGCTGTGGAGAGATCCATATGTTTTCACTTTCTACATGTTGTAGAGTGGAACCAGAAACAGGGTTTAGTCTCCTGATTAATCAAACAATAAGGCAACAAAGGAAATTCATTCATGTTTTTCGGTGGAATGGTGTCACTGATGCAGACAGTCGTGCTGTTAGACTTGTTTTCAGTGGTGAAGATTTTCTGTCCCACACCACACACCACAGAGTAATGCTACAGTACACCCTGTCTTTCCATGTCCTCAATAAGAATGCTACAGTATGTTGGAACATGGGGAAATTGAAAAGATACGTTTTATTTATTTTTATTTTGTTCTACATAAGTCACGATTTTAAAGTTTTTTTATTTTTTTATTTAGTGTCCACAATCTTTATTTAAACTGTATTGCACTCAAAACAAGTCTTACTACAGGCTAGCTCTGCCAGCCCAGAGAATGTGGGTTAGTGTGGAAGTCAGAGTAGGACTGTATGTGAGAGGGAGTTTGTGTGTTAGTCCGCTATTTGGCTGTATGTTAGAGAAGATATAGTGGTGTTGGCCTTTGTGTCTGAGGGTGTGTGTTGGTCACAGGAGGTTGGTGGCACCTTAATTGGGGAGGACGGGCTCGTGGTAATGACTGGAGCGGAATAAGTGGAATGGTATCAAATACATAAAACACATGGTTTCTAGGCTAGCCGTTAATGATCAGCTTATGCCACTCATCCCTTCGGCACAACGCTCCCTCCGAATCTCCCCCAAATGTTGTTATGCAACACGCTGCCACATGATAGGCATGTAGTCATGATGTCATGATAGGCACTGGTCTCTCATTGATTGAGATGTAGTGGGTTGGCAGACACAGTTAAGGATGGACTGCTTACTTCACGACTGATTTAATAGTCACTCTGTCACTCATTCTCTGCCTCCCTCTGGCAGTCAGTCTCTTCCTCTTTCCCTCAATACGCCTTTGTCTCTGTTTCTTTCCCTCTGACTGTCTCTCTGTCTTTCTCTCTCTTGTCCGCTCTCTGTCTCTTCCTCCGATGAGGTTTGAAGTGATTTCCAAGGCTCATTTTGCTGGCCCTCTGTTGTTAATAAAGTGCTGGAGCGGAGCTCTCTTCCCTGGCAGACAGTGAAGCCGCAGGGCACCAGGGAGAGACGTGTGTGTGTCTGTGTGTGTGTGTGGCTGGCACACACACACCAAATCACATCTCTGTCTCTCTTTCTCCCTGCATTCTAAATACTGAGGAGAGACTCTCAGCTCCACATCATTCTCTCTTTCACCAGATATGGGCTCAGAAACGCCCCCACTGGATATGTCACAACAACAACCACTGTGTCGCCACAGAGACATTGTGGCTGAATAATACCACTTCTCACATCTGTGACTGTCCATTTTGTCAATGTGCTTTTCAACGTGTGTCTGGTCCGTGTCAGAGTGTGTAACATTTTCCCTCTCTGTATTCACTCAATGTGGAAAATTAGTCCCCCGTCCCCTCTGTAACATAATAGCATCATCAAAGTTTCAGCGATAGTAGAGAACAAATGGTCCAGAGTAAAGGGATGCCTGATGGCAGTGTGTAATTGTTATTTCTCTTCCTGGGCTGTGAATGGATCCTAGTTGTACCTCACCCTCCCATCTGTTTCTATTTACTCCCAACAAGAACCACCTTTTTTTAGTTCAGTGTTGCCATTACTACAGACAGTACATACATAAGTGTGTTGTAAAATATTTGAGAATATTGTTTTTATACTCAGAACACACAAATACACGGTAACAAATATATTTCATTTTTCCCACAAAAACAATGTACACAGTGTACATCCCATTCCCAACCAACACAAAGTTGCACATACAGTGGTCTACATACAAAACAGAAGAATTTAATGTATACAGTAAAATAAAAATAAATAAACCTATGCTGCATCCTCTCTTCTGTTGCGGTCTGTCCACAGCACCTCATCCACATCACAAGCAATGTTTTCCCTGGCCATGCAGCGGGGGAAATATCGCCTTGCATGGCGATTCCAGCCATGAAAAGCATCAACTGCTATATCTCCACATGCGTCTTCCATAGCTTGGAGAAGAGGTATACGCATTTGTGGATTTCGGTCATACACTTTCCATCTCCAGGCAGAAAAAAATGCCTCAATAGGATTGAGGAATGGAGAATATGGAGGGAGATAAACAACTAAAAAGCGTGAGTGGGCAGTGAACCAGTTACGAACCAGAGCAGCCCTGTGGAAACTTACGTTGTCCCAAATGACAACGTACCTGAGCTGCTCTGGGCCATCTACCTGATCTGGTGGAATGAGTGTGTTGTGTAGGGTGTCCAGAAATGTGATCAGATGGGCGGTGTTGTAGGGGCCAAGGGTAGCATGGTGATGGATGACGCCGTGGTGGGTAATCGCTGCACACATTGTGATGTTCCCTCCGCGCTGGCCAGGGACTTGAACAATGGTACGCTGGCCGATGATATTCCTTCCCCTTTTTCGTCTTTTTGTGAGGTTGAATCCAACCTCATCAATGAAGATGAACTGGTGCTCCACTGCAGCCACCTCTAGCTCAAGGACTCTCTGAAACACACATGACAATATCAGAAATAGACATGGAGTGGTCACTATTGTGAAGCACAATCATTATGATTACAATACTAAAATATGTATAATTTATACAGTGTTGAGAGTATGCATCAATTGTGGGATTGTATAGGACTCACTTGCACATAGTTATATCGCAATTCTTTGACTCTTTCTGAATTGCGTTCAAATGGCACCCTGTAGACCTGCTTCATCCTGAGATTATTTCTGCGCAAGACACGGTCCAGTGTTGATAAGCTTACCCTATCAATATTTTGAAATATCTCATTGTTTTCTATTATTTTTCTTTGTATTTGCCGTAATGTTATGGCGTTATTTTCTAGGACCATGTTCATGATTTCAGTTTCCTGTTCAGGAGACAGAACACGTTCCCGACCACCTTGTGTTGGTAATCTTTCAGTTCTGCCAAACAAATAGCAAAATGCTGTAAATACAAAGTAGAAATACATTTCCCAAATACTTGAAACATACTTTATTTTTACAGTCCTACAGAACAGTCCACAGGCAATACTGTACTACTGTACTCATTGAGTACTGTATTGATATGCAGTACTGCAATTTTCTAGTGAGAGTAGATTTCTTAC